CCGGGATTCAAATCCCGGCACGGCCTTTGGATATGCACTGCTAATGAGCTCTAATAAGAGCGAAACTCGAGTCCAGTGCTTCCCTTTGGTGTGGACTCACCGGAATAATTACGCCAGATCAGGAACACGGCCGTTCAAACGAGAGTAGTGTGGCTATGAACGAATGTATGTTAGCTAATTTCATGCAATTTGGTTTCAAGTAGAACACAAGTTTGACAGAAACCCGGGGACTGCGCCTACCTGATGAGCCCCAAAAAGGGCGAAACCGGTCGTGGGCTGTCGATGGATTTTCAGCAACCTTATGAGTAGAACATTGCAAGTATATACAGGTAACAACTTAGTTTAGAAGCAAACAGCATGATCTGGTGAGACCTTCCTACTTCATCTTTACTAAGAGACCTATAGTAGAATTGTCCGTTGTCCACAATGAGGTCCTGTGATAGGGATTATCATGATTGAGACAGAATGTTGAGGCTCATTCGCTTAACTTACATGAAGTTTAAATCCATCCGTGATGATAGAGCTTTATTTTGAAACAGCAGTATGGGACGACTGCTAAAAATTTGCAAAGCCCTGTTTTGGGCTTATCACAGGAAGCATTTTCTAAAAACTGATAAATGAGACCCCTACTTTAAACAGTTTGACTGGATGTTTACTTCTGAGCTCATGATACGATTGCTAGACCCGAGAACTCGGTAGAGTTTCCCGTGGTCAGTAGTATTGTGATATTCTTCTGCATGATATGCAGCACACAGGCTGCTTTGAAATTCCGATACAAAGATATTCAGGAGGATTCCCTTCATTTGGTATAAGTGGTATGAAACGTTATCCAAAACTTCAGACATGGTATATTATATAGAAGAATATCTTTGTGTTATCGGCTTCAAAAAAGACCCTGTCGAATCAACAGTTCCAGCTGATAGTTCTGTTTACAATTTTCCTGGATCAAAGCGTACAATACTCTATTTCTTCGTATAGTTAAGCTATTTGCTTTCTCCTGCCAGCAACTCAACTTTCGAATTAGGGAGTTTTGCAATTTGTTTCAATGGAAAAGCAGGCTTTGAAATAACAGTGACTTCGTGAAATTACTAATGTTATGGAAATACGCTCATCTGCGGGAGACTCACCTAAAACCCAACTGATTCTCTGGTTTGTGAGGGTTTTAAGCAACTGAATGTGCCGCACCAGGCCGCCTCATGTTTCAGTTGGTATGATATTTGAGATATCACCATATATGTGTAGGAGTGATACACTACTCATAAAGTTGCTGAAAATTACTCGACAGCCCACGACCGGTTTCGTGCAATTAGGGTTCAAGTAGAACATAAGGTTGGGGGAAATTCGGGGACTGCACCTACCTGATGAGCCCCGAAAAGGGCGAAACAGGTTGTGGGCTGTTGGAGAATTTCCAGCAACCTTACTAATGTTATATTTTTTTTCAACGGTTCGGTTATTCATTTCGGATTTAAAGTAAAAATGGCAGAAAATTGGTGTTTGTGACTGTCAATTCTAAAAAATGGAGAAGTGTGGAAAGGTAGAAGCACACTGCCACAATGTCGAATAAAATTTCTTCGGTTGTTCATTTAGCCTTTCGCGTCATTATGTGATCCGCTAGAATAGCCGAATCTATTAAGCAGCATGGGGAGATTTGAGTTTCTTCAATGGGAGTTTCATCCTGTATTATCACTTAGCACTGATCTACGCAACCGATAATAAGTACCCCTTTCTAATGACAGTCGTCTTTGAAGCAGCTCCACGAGGGTACCAATTTTCATCCTCAAACTGCCAGATATCTGCCCCTATGGAGACCCCAACTGCGGCCTCACTCCCCGGACGGGAACCGAGGGTTACTGTTAGATGCCATGGTTTATCCGGTGGCCAAAGCCAGTATCCTCATTACTCGTACTTTTACCTCACCACTTTCCGCATAACTTTAAATACCCAGTGCCATTTCAATCAAATCTCCTTTCAGCCTCGTTACCGATTCCTCTGCTAGCTGTGACGTGTTGCTGTTCGCGCAAATTGATTGTTCTCTACCTTGCTTTGATGCATTCAGGTGAGAATGTGTGGTCGCTAATGCGGACAGTAGACAAGGCCATAATTATGTCGGGGGAAAATTGGCCTGCGTTCTGCCCGCCTTTCAGGTGCCGTGTGTTGGTCGGTTTGAGAAACCTGACAAACCTTCCGCATCGGTGATTGATCAAGAAGGCGGAGATTGGCACGTGTCAGATGGTTCTGAGGATCTTACGGAGTTATATATGACTTCCTCTTGTTTGACCGCCTTAATCCAGTTACTGTTCAGATCAGTCAACTCGTTCAAGGCAAACGAAAGGACGTGTAAAAAGCTGATTACGTTGAATAGTGCATAAGGACAGTAGCGCTGCGTGCCCCTTAACCTATTTCATTCACTCGTTTTCTGCAATACGTCCGTAAACGCACAGAAAGCACTTCAACCATACAATATTCGATAGAAGTTAACACTCAAAAGCTGACTGGCTGACATGAAAATCTGAGACACTTAAAAAGCAAGAATGGTTAACTTCTTCCTTCGGCAACTTGTATCCAAGGAATTGGTTGAGGCTGGGTCTGGCCTAATAACGTTAGCCGTCAGGAGGTATTCTAGAGAGGTACATTTAGATCGCTGCTCTCAACTTGCCAGATCCGCCCCTGCGATTTCAAATCAACTGGTTTGAACCATAAAATATTTCAATTGAGCAGTCACGTGGAGAAGAACCCAGTTGGTCCCAACTAAACAGATCTGGGGAAAAGCGTGTTATATCAAGAGTTTGTCACAAACTGCCGTCTTGGGCCATCGTTACAGCGAAATTTCAATAGCGGATACCTATGAAGAGTCATCAAGCTCTCTCTTTACTATTTTGTGGCCAAAATCGCTCTCCATCGCATATCCTTCAATTGTACTCAGGCCATCTACAGAATTTCAGGGCAGTGAATGTAGCAATGAATACGTGTTGTATCCCTTTGGGTTAAACTGCACTTTACTCGACTATTGGTATGATGACTGGACGAAAGTAGACAGTCATCTCGAGCGCGTCATTGGGGAATCAAACCCGAATCTTTAAAATGGTGGCCTAGATTCAAATAAAACTTTACGCAGTAGTAGTTTTCCAGAAAAAACCCTGAGTACAGGATGCGCTTCGCTCTACTTGACGGTCCACAAAACTGAAGTATTTACCGGCTTTTCACAAATTTTTCAATGAGATGTTCGCCCGCAGCATGGCCGGAATTGTCATTAACGCTTTTTTGCGGCTAAAGTAAGGGTATGTTTTACTAATCTGCCGAAAGTCGCTTAAACGGCACAAAGACAGGTTGCCTCAGCTGACGACAAGCTAGTGCCTGTATCATTTCCGGTGATCATGTTCAGCTGAATACATTGATCAAACTGAAATAACCCACTAAGCGAGCACCAGTGCATTTATTGGTTTGGCTATTGAAAGGCAAAACAGGACATTTGACTAGTTCAGCCCTGGGCTTCAAATCAATATTGGCTTGATGGGCGCCTTCCGCCCAATCTACCGTGGGCCTTTTTGTCGACACAAAACCTTTAGGTGACAGGCTCTAGGCACAGAAGAGGCGATTGCCGCTCCCATCCATGACCCAGACATGTGTGAGCAAATACGTTTTTTTCGCAATTTACCTTTCTGTTGACATAAAACACATTCCAAGACCACTTGCGTCGCGGAGCGTTTGGCCGTTGGTCAGCCTTCCGTCACGTTAGCCATTTGAACAGTTATGTCATGCCAATGACTGGTAGGCAACTCTGACCCAACCTATGCATTTTGTAAAGTCACAAACTTATCAGTGTACGCCCTCGTTTAATACATTTTATATAGAGTTAATGTAAGAGCTTGAAAAGCAATAGTAAACACTAAGTAAGCGATCGGCAAATTTATTTCTCACTGAAAAGAACACTTGCAAAAGAGCGATGGAGAAATATGGTTGACGTGCGTTTTTCTGCCGATATATTTTTTCCACCAAATTCACTGGATTCCAGGCATCGACTGTTTTGGTTCACAGTTTGACAACCTTGCAAGAGATTAGCCGTCCTCTTGGAAAGACAAGTGACTATGTATTGAAAGCGTACTACGTTTGAACAATTCCGTGTAAACTTCACTTCAGCAACCTTTAGTTCAGTATCAAAGAATGATCGAAAGAGATGTTCCGTATTTTTTGAAGACCTACCACCAAGGGGCTTAATGAAATGTGAAAAAGTGCTTTGTAAAAAATGCACTCATTTGAAAAATTATTTGGTTTAAAGGCAGACTCAAATGACACAGCTGAACTACTCGTTGACGATGGTCTTCTTCAACTGTCTTGTATGTGTTTCAAGTGGTACGATATTCAAGGACTGTGCTGAACTGACGGGTCCTAATAAAAGAAAAACGGGTCGTGAGTTGCCAAACAGTTTTCAGCAACCCTATTAATCAAACAAATGTACTGCTTTATCTCGAATGTCGTACCAACTGAAACATAAGACAACCTGGTGCAGCACATTCAGTTGAGTAAGACATCGTAAATGAGAGGCTCCAGGTGAGTCTCTTGTCAAAACCAAAGTAGTGTGCAAATGCGTGTATAGGTCGAATGTGCGGTTCAGTTTAAGCACATAGGTCTGATGACAACTCTTCGGTTTTAGATCAACTCTCGGCAGGCTGCTGTGGCCCTTCTGGAGGAGTGGAAATCCCTGTAAATGATTCCATCACCGGATGTCACATTATTACATTATCGGAACTCAATATAGCTCTTGGGAGGTTCAGGTTCACCTTGTGTCTCGCATGAGCCCTCTAAACTGGACAATTTAGCAGTATCTCACATTTTGCGCTCTTCTTGGAGTCAATGGGGCCTGTGTACCACAAAACGAAATCTTGAATCATGGCAGCTGGATAACTTTAGCCTCTCAGATCGCCCATTTTGACGGAAACAGAGATATTTTACCAAGTCCCTCGTGAAGCACACCGCGTCAGCTGATCACAGAAACACTAACCTTCAACCAATGAGGTGAGCAGTGTTACCGTGGCGGCCTTTCGTCTTCCCGCAGGTAAGTTTAGCCCGATCTTGTCCAGTTTGTCCCGAAGTGACCGACCTCCGTTCTTTGATTTGGCCCTATAAAATAAAAAAAACTGGTTTTTTCATTTCACTGTCACGCACAACAGTTCAGTTGATCATGTTCAGTCTTTTTAATCCGCTTCTCAGCTCGAGCAGAACTGTAACCGTGGCTTAAAAAAAACTGGTTTTTTCATTTCACTGTCACGCACAACAGTTCAGTTGATCATTGTTCAGTCTTTTAATCCGCTTCTCAGCTCGAGCAGAACTGTAACCGTGGCTTACTGGGACAGTTCTGAAAATTTACGTGGCAAGCACTTCAAAGAAAATTACAACATTTCAAGATGATTCTGACACTTGTGTAACAGCACACTGTGTTCTCCGATGCTTGTAGGAAACATGTTCCGCTATTCCGGTGCACAGCTGTCCACTGTGATGTTTCCATCTAAAGGGTTCATTTCCATTCGACTTACAACCCGGCTACACAAAATGTACCTCGATAAAACCAGCCACAATGTGCTAATTGGTTTCCATCAGAGAGGAGTAAGCATTGCTCATTCCAAGCACATCTGGTTGTGTTGTTACGGCAAATGGAAGTTATGGTTGCCACCGCCAAAACTTTTTTTCTATTCAGTAGGGAATTTACTTTAAAAACCGACCTGGCAACCGCATGAATCGAGCGCAGCCCGATGAGATTCTATTGTTTGCTCTCACCTCCCTGCCCAGTGAGTCCTCTAACCGGTTACCCCTATTAGACGAGCATATGACAGAATATGGATAATTAGGCACTCCAAATGAACTTCTCGACCTCCTACTCACGACCCCACTCAGTGAGGAAACGAACCCCTTGCTCAGCATGAATATTGGAGTAGGATTTCAAAAGTATGAATCATGAACCCACGCTGGGTTTATGCTCACGTCTACCGAGAACATCTGTCAAAATAATTTTTCGCCGCTACGCCACTAGGGGGCAAACTTACAGTCCCTACATTTTCACAATTAACGAGCAAATTTTTTGAACAGAAGGCTTTCCAAGTACGTTACACTTACCTACGCAAAACGCCACCGAGCAATGAAGCGTTGAGACATTCGGGAGGTGAGAGACGCCTCTGGACCTCAGCTACAGTGACTTTGTATTTGGATGTAGAACTGAGCAAGGATAATCGGCCAGGTACGGTACAGAATATATCACCTGGACTAGGACCGTGGGCGAATTCCGCGCGACATTCCAAATTGGTCCTGTAGCGAAATCCTGGTGGAAAAAACGAACGAACAAAAAGTGGCTAATTATGAACAGCCTTTTTATGTGAATAAACTACCACCACACGAACAAGTTTTCTCCTGTAAACTTTATTTCATAACTTTGCTAGTCTTTTCCCTGCTTTCCTCGAAATCATGTGTGCGCATGATCAAAGGGTGGGCGTTACCGCACGCGCTCGCTGCTGTAGATCGTTTAAGCGCTATAATTACATCAAGGGCGTCCCACCACTATCCCCTCCTACCAGTTCGCTGGGACATAAACCAAACGGAAGGGTAAACTGGGGTGGGTATGGGTACGGTTATCGCACGTCCTGAGGGCTACCGTGTGCAAAATAGTCGTGTACCGAATCGGTCACTTTCCCGCCTCGCTTTGGTCGAAATGAGGATTATCCAAACATCCAAAAGGTTGTCCTACTTTTATTATGGTTATGTTGAACGCTTGAGGCTGTTTTCCAACTTGATTGTTTGCGGATCACAATTTAATCCTTTTCAAAGTGTCAATTAGACGGATGAATTAGAACAACTTTTCTCACAAGTTACAATCCTTACATAGGATTGGCTTTGCCTGAAGCTGCGATACTTTCAAACTTGCTGAAGTCCTGATTTCAGTGAAGACATGTTAGGGTATTCCGTAACCTGGATCAGATGTTTCGATAAAACTCTCAAGATGGACGGACATGAATCCCGGTGTCTCGACAGAAATTTAAAAGCCGCAGCCTGTTAAATCAACCTGTGCTGGAGATTGGAATTTCGCAAAACTCTGTACCTTCAAATTAAAACTTCCTATTGGATAGTTTTGGGAATTTTATCTAGGCAAAATGAAGTAATAGCAGAAAATCTTAGTCTAAAAATGTGGACTTTGTTCCAATATAATACCTAATTATAGCCTTTTTAGACTGTAAAATAATCGAATTTATGTAGAGAAGAATTTTCTAAATACTTTGAATTCATGGTAGGAGTGTGGAATTTTCTATACAACTGATTCTTTTAGGGAACATATCATTCATAAAACTGTGCATTACATCTGTGCACACACCGACGTTGACATCCGAATTAGTGACGAAATGTTTTCAGAATGATTGCAAAGTTCCGTGAACAGGCCAACAACTGATGAGTTTCACCAAAATGGTGGAGCTAACTGTGCGAGAATTCGGCAATATGTGGGTAACAGAGGGGCTGTTATAGCACTCGCTTACTTACGATTTAGTTACCCAGTTAGTCCACTATTACCTTTCTCCTGAAAACCTATCAGTAGTGCTCATTCACTGATCGGGCCTAGAAAACTTAAAGTTAGCATTGATGTAGGTACTCTGTGCCCTCAGTTCTTGTGTCACGCAGCTTCCTGCGAGATGTCAGAGAACAAACCGCCTCACTTGCGCACAATTTTGGCTTTGACAGGTCATTTGGCTCAGTTTAGCTGGATTCCCCGTTTACCGTGGTCCGCTTGTCGAAGAGTCTGCAGCAACCTCATGGATACTGTTTTACGTCTAGACAAGTCACAGAACAGTTTGCCATGTCTTTCGAGTGCTAAAAAATCTGAGTTATTTGTTTACTCTAAGATGTTGGCCTTTCAACAAACCAGACGTTGGAAGGCATTTGATTCTTCACTGATTCGGCTGAACACATTATTTTAGCTGTTAACCATTTATTCAACACTTATTCAGCAGCTTTCGAAAATCATTTCTTGTTGAATTCACTCCGCAGTTTCTCTCAGCACCTCATCGAATATCGGAATTCACACTCGTCAGTGATTCATGTGTTTCGCACCCCTAAATATGCTTTACATATAAAAATAACCAAGTGATCTTTGTAATATAAGTTTAAAGTAAGACCAGAGTTATTTACTCATTAGAATCTCGGTGATCCGATTGCCCGGCTGTCGCCGTTCTCGGATTTGCTAAAATTCCATTCTGGTAACTACACATCAGTGAGAGGTTAGACAGAATATATATATATATATATATATCAGAAGTCCGTTGTTTCACCCCAATAAGTGAACGACATATATTCCTCCATAAAATGGACTGAAACAAAAAAATCTCTTCAAGGGATGTACTTCTCAGATGAATCCATTTCGCCAAATAAAATCCCGCTTCCGTGTAAGAATCATTATCGAATTCCTCGCTTCCACTAATGAATCTGGCTGATTGCCTAAAGTTGGAGATGAAAACGACGTTGCTCATGAAACGACTGTTTAGGCGTACGACAATTGTCGTGCTAGTAACAGTGTTGCTGAGGGTCTGATCTGTATCATGATCGGCTAAACTCAATATTCTGAGACAAGCAATCACATTCATCTAGTGTGAGTTGGCACATGATCTGTCCAATGTTGTTTTCAAATAATATTGATAAACACAGTTAGCAGTTGCAAACTATCAGATTCTTTGCACGTTTTCATTTGCACGATAACAACGTCCATTGCCGAGAAACCGCTCGATCAACATTCCTGCCTAAAATCAAACAGTTTCCTATCCCCTCATGAGTCGATGCATCATCTTTTCACCTAGCTTTTCCATACACCTCCATAACTTTGGGTTATCAGGCAACACAGCATATGAATAAAACAGCAGATATCACGCCACGACATCAAGAAAGCTTCCCTCCGCTTAACCGCCCCTATAACACCGGTACTTAACTTGTAGGTCGAAAAGACGTGTTTCTTCAACCCGACTGATCCCTTCTACCCCTCACATCCCCTCTCAAAAAGATGGGTAAACACAAACACCTGATGATTCGAAACCACAGTGTTTTTCTTTCCCAAAGGATTCAAGTGTGTTGAGAGGGAGGCAGATTAGAAATGTGTTTGTTCTATTCTGGCTAGATTATGACAAGATTGAGATTTCACCGTTTGACGCATCACTGCACATCTTTACACCACTGGCTACCTATTCCGACAAAACGATGAAAGGACCAACAGCCTATACCGGTTGATCTTTTTCGAACACTTATCGGTTTACATCAATCGATATTTGCCTGATTTCTCGTTCACCATTTCATACAAGCGAATGCTCATAAGGCAACTTTCTTGTATACCAAGTCACAAAAGTGACCAAGAATTCTTCGGCACAATTCAAACAAAATTTGATCGACTCCGAATAAATAAAATTTTATTTCATCCTCCAGACTTAACTGAATCATTCATATTGAGAAGCAACTCTAATCCTTCTAGATTATTCACAGATTCTTCAAGTTATACTGGAATGAAAACCACGTATCACCTATCAGGTAATTTCAAACTCAAAAGAAGCTGAATGTTTGATTAATTGGTGGCCTTAATTCGAAGAGTGTAGAAGGAAAAGCCAGAGCAAACCGTCAAAATTTTACCATCATCTCTTTACGTGGTTTTTCGTGGTCTCAAGAGGGTCAAGCCTTCGTGATGATCACTGTGATCTAATTAGCCCCAAATTCCCCTTTGGTTGACAAATGGCTGTCTAGCACCTGCCGCACACATGCGTCTTTCGTGACCGCATAAAGAATGCAGTGCTTTTCAGAAACTCCCATCTGTTTCCCTGCACCTTCAACGGACTATGGTGAAATGGGGCAGGCAGAGATTAAACCCACCCTCTTTCGAATCACACTGAAAA